TGTGCCAGGCCTTTCGGCCTTGACTTTTCCATTCACCAAAGATTCTCTGACTCAAACTGGTTCTTTTCATCAACTAATTTCAGCAAGATCTTGGGCCTTAAGATTGCATCAGGAATTCAGACAGCCGAGACTCGCAAGTATCAAACTTAGTCTTATTAATTGATGCATTAAGTATCAGTTACACCTTTTTACAAAGGTGTGTTTGAACTAAGAATCTGACGTATCCCTCAGGTGTAGATCTGCTGAATATGCAAATGGTTCCATAAAGTTCATTCTTTATGCCTCTTTCTGTACTGAGTTAAACTTTAACCCTTTCCTATACCAACTGTATGTGTGTGTGTGTGTGTGTGTATGTAGGATGTTAGACCAGTTTATGTGTTTATGTAGTCTGTTAGACTAGTTTAAGTGTTTATGTAGTTAATAAAACCTTACTTGTATCACACTTGACGTGTTCATTGTTTGCTCATAACCAGAGTCCCTTATTATGCAAGATTTATGCTACAAGCTCTTTGTAGAATTGTACAGTAAGAAGTTATTTCCCTTAACCAGGAAATTAACGTTCTTAGAATTGACAGACAGTTGACCCTGAGAGGTCAAGTAAATATCTACAGCTGATCTAAAATACGAATAATTAATTATAACTAGTTATGGTTAATTATTCATATTTCCTCATGAGTTGATACTGTTACATTTCCCAAAAAGATTTAGTTCTGTATTTGCTTGATGGTCGAAACATGCCCTACTTCTGCCCAGAGGTGATGACAATAACAGATTTAGAAGAGGAAATCGGAGTCTGCAGGGAAAACATGTGGCGTAACTGTCATTTTAGAGTTTCACAATCCAACACAACAGACTGAACCACAACTACCTAAAATAAGATGCAAACACAGGCCTGCAAATGAAGTGGTAGGTTTTCACTTCATTTTCTTTGAATAGCGCTTTCAGATTATATTGCTTTAGAGACATTTTGAGGTAATAATGCTTTAATTGCCCAGTGAGCAAGCCAAAGGCAACTGTTGCAACTTGCAAGGGAAAAAAAAACGTGTGTGAGTTGCTATTTTTTTAAATCTACGCCCACAAACACAAGAGGCGAGATTTATCGCATGAACCAATCACAGCCGAACATAAAAAGTCATAGCCAATAATATCGCGATGGAGGCATTGCCTCCTCTCACGTGACGTTCCCTATTAGGGCAGGGCCAGTCAGTTTCTTTTGAGGCCCGGATTATTGAATTTAATTTTTAAAGGGGGCCAAGGAGGTGGGGGGCCGTCCCAATCTCTTTCTGGGGGGCCTATACAATTAGAAATTCAATTTAAATGCATATTCAGCAGTAAAATCAACTAATATTTTCAGTCGATTAAAAAAAAAAACGAATTAATCTCACACTTTTCTATAATTAATCATGATTAATTGCATATTAATATATTGTCATAATTTAACATTGATCCTCCAAATAAATGTAGAAACTACATAAAGGTGGTATATTTTAAATATGTGTTTAATGGCATCTCTTTAATAAGTTGCATATTATTTACAAAGGTGACATAGTATTTTTGATACCAATACTGCTATTGATGTCTCTATTAAATGCATTTTCACCTCAATTTTAGCCATTAATTTAGCATATTTAGAAATACAAGTGATTTATAGACTTTTTAATGTTATATGTTTGTAATATTGGCGTTTTATTGTTGTACTACAATTTTAATTTTTTTTTTCTCATCCAATATTTTGAAGAGACACTGCTTCCCTTGCCTCCTCGCAGGAAGTGCCCCAAATGCTGTGATTTGTTTTAAAGTGTTTTATTGTATTTTTATACCACAGCACAGTCCCTCTGTCAGAGACAATCTCACAGTGGAGGACTGACTTTAATGGAAACATTCTCTCTCCAGCTCTCATTAACAGTGTGAAGGAGAGAGCAGAATACAAGTACAACAGAACAAGAAAAGAAAACTCTTAAAAATAAGACTCACCTTCTCCAGAAGACATGGCTACTCTCTGTGGGTCACGGTAAGGAATGGACAAACTGGTAATGTAAATCATAATAAAGCATTATAACCCAAGAGTTCGTACTTATTTAGCGCTCAAAGCAACTGTATGTAATTCAGTGTATTGTGAGTGGAATTCACTGATGTATATATATATATATATATATATATATATATATATATAT